TGAAGTCACTTTTAATGCAAAGTTACTCTTTTCAATGTTCACGATAGTTTTATGATAACATATGCCTGTCGGTATTATTGGTAACCGCGTCGGTATGTATCATCGGTAACCGTGCCGATATATGGACTAAATCTCGGGCCGCTGGCGCGTGACAGTAAGAGGCGGCCGGAGGAGAACTACTTCTCCTCACGGCGCACGATATAGTGCTCCGTACTGTACATACATATGCGTATGGCGTTTGCCGCCTTGGGGAAGGATTCCTGATACTTTTTGGTAAGGCTGAACAGACACCTGATGGCTAGAAAAGCACTGGAAGCCATTCTGTAAGTGACAGTACGCAACTCATATGTGTCAACCAGGTTAGACGAACACTCTCTCCAAAGTATGCGTTGAAATACACGCTGCAACGGCTCTAAAAGCACCTGATGTAGCACAATACATCATAGCGATATCAGCACTCACCACATATAAATATTGCCTGAAACATAAGAGGAGTGATAACAAATCTTCTTGTATGGTAGGTCCAACCATTTGTATGTCGTTGAGTGACAAGCTTGTGGTAGTAGGTGCTGAGGCGTTGAAAACAACCTGTAACTTTGTTGTAATACTGCTTTCCTTCATCACGCCGTGGTGAGGTAGATAATACGATGTAATAATACGACTGGAGGACCATCATCAACGATTCTTTTTATATGACTAAGTTCTTTGTATCTTCGCATGAAGTCTATGTATTGATGCCGCATGTCCTCATTTCTTTGTAACCTGCTCTCCAATCCCTTTAACCGTCGTAAGGCTAATTCTTTGGAGTCACCCAACTTATTGGGGGACGACTTGAATGAGATAGACATGATAAACCGACAGTTGTTATCGCGCTTAGTCGACTCAAGGAAAATGGTCTCACAGGCCTGTTCTTCTGGTGATAGATAGCGACTGTGTGATATTTCTTTAATTTCCCAGAACATCTAACTGACGTGAGATGTCGGTTCCGTTGGTTGACAAACTGCACGCTAGCAGAGTACTGTCGACACGCTCCTGAGGCAGCTTTCCGGAAACGATATAGCCCAACTTTGTCTTATGCAAATACGGATGCCCTGTGGGCTCATGACAAGTCAGATCCCAAAAAAGATCAACACCGATTAATAATTGTATTCTCTTTGGCTTGTGAAAGCGTGGATCTGCAAGAGGAACGTCATCCGGAATGTTTGTCTTCTCAAGATCCAACGGGTCGCTGGGTAGGTGAGATGTAATTCTAGGAACTATCATAAACACAAGCTCTGTTTTGTAGTCTCCGTATACTGATTTGATGGTCGCCCTTGTTGTCTCTAGGATCCTAATTTCTGTTTGACTTATGCCGGTCATAATGATGTCTGTTTTGGTAGTGCGAAGGCCCAACGTATTGCACAGACCCAGCGTCATAAAATTGGATTGCGAACCTGAATCAAGAAGTACGTTGCACTTGTGCACTTGTCCGTTCTCCGCAATGATCTTCACAACTGACGTGGGCAGTACACGTACAGTCTTATTTGCCGTGGCGTGCGCGGACACGATTTCTTTTGTCTCGTTATTTGTCGCTTGTGGTTCGGGCGCTGGTTTTTCGCTGCTATTAACTTCTTTCTGATTTTCGACCCTCTCTATATGCAGCAATGTGTTATAAGACTTTCCACACTTGCAACATTTTTGCGACTTGCAATTTACTGCGATGTGACCTAATCTTAAACAGTTCAAGTAGGCTTTCTTCTTTTTGACTTGTTCTATTCGCGCACTTACCGGCAAGTCAATGAAATGTTTGCACGCAAACAAACCATGTTCTTCTTTGCACAAAGAGCATCTTGCTTTGTTTGTCGCGGCATGCAAAAGTATTGCTGGATTGCTCTTTGTTTTACTTAGTACTTTGACGGACTGTGTTTCGATAGATGTCTTAAGATGCTTACTTATTTTCTCGAGCAGCTGGCATTCGAGAAAGTTTTTCGAGAAAGTTTAAAAAGCACTCGATGTCAGGCAGCTCTTTGCACTCTACTAGTTCCCTCTTCCATTCTCTTTTAGATGACGTGTCAAGCTTGTCTGAAATCAAGTATGTTAATAAGGGGTGATACTCTATTGACCACAGTACGATTCGACACCGCTCGATTCGACACAGATTTATTCGACAC